TGTCAAAGGTGGGTGGAGACAAAGGCAACAACGGCGTTGGTGGGCGGAGGTGGCGGCGGTGGGTAGAGAAATAACTACCAACACCGCCTCTGGCTCCACCCACCTCGGACAATGTTGCCAAAGGCAGAGGCGGAGATGGGCAGAGATAGGAGGAGGCGTTGTCAGAGGCAATGGTGGACAGCAGCGAGTGGCAGTGCTAGTGAATATATTGCAAGAGAAAGAAGATGAACAGTGATTTTGCTTTTTATTGATATTCTTTTTTCAAAAGTTAACTTATTTTTGAATTTTTTTAAAAAAAAATATTACTTTTACTGATATTAGGGCCCAAAAGTTGCCCTTATATGCTATTATCCCAAAAAAAGAATACTAACAAAAATAATAAGCATGAGTAAAAAAGTATCGATACATTCCTTCAAACATTTTCCAATATTTTGTGCTCTTCAGGCTGGATCCATTCAGATTTTGACGAAATTAAGCTCAACGAGAACCCACTCAAGTTGCATCCTTAGTGAACGATACACGTGTGAATTTTGAAAAAAGGTTTGATTATGATAATGGAAAGACTTGATATTCGAATTTTTTGTGACTAAATTAATAAGCATAATGGGATTTATCAAAATTGATGTATGGATTTTAATTGGTCAAAACTCTTCGAAGGAGAACGATGATTTTAAAGTTAGTTTTGAAAGACTTTCATAAAGAAGAATGCCCTCCAGGCCTCCACATCAATACCCTTTTTTTTCGATATTATATACTTACACGTTAAGAGGAATCCAGGATGGGAGAGAATAGAATACAAGAGAGGCCCACTATAGTGAACCTGAATTTGGTCCTAGGCCTCCCATTTGGAGGGTGCCGAGTGACCATTTCAAGTTTTCAACTACTTGGTCATCATCAGCGCCCATATCAATACTTTGAAATCAAGCTAGATGAAATCAAAGCATGCACACACGATGAATAGGTGAACAAACAAGCTGTTCAATCGTCAGCAACCATATTGATCAGTTTTCTATAAACAGGGATATTTGATGACTCGTGTTATAGTTGGCTTCTTTATCTACTATACAATAAATCTGTTGATGGGGTTAGGTGTGGGCACAGCTTGCAAGCAAGAACCTAAAAGGCAACTCTTACAGATCAGATAGGATGGTCATGAATATTTATATATATATGTTAAGCTGAAATGTGTACGTCAGACGAGGGAAATAGAATTTAACGGTATTTTTTGTTTTTTTTTTTAGAAATTACAAGAATGCTACTCTTTAATAATTCTCTCTTTATTTTTTTTTCTCTCAAATTATAAGAATATCACTCTCTCCTACCAATTTTTTTTCTTTGTTTTTTTTTTCTTTCAAATTATGTCACTATCTCTCCTATCAATTTTCTCTCTTTTTTTCTTATAAATTACAAGAATGTCATCTCTCTCCTTATAAATTACAAGAATGTCACTCTCTTTCCAACTGAGGGAGACCTCAACTCGACATCTCAGCTGCTAGGGAACCTGCAATCAAAGGTGGTCAAGTTCGAGCCGAGCCGAGCTTGAACTTCTGAGCTCAAGCTCAATTCTCTAATTCAAATCGAGCCTGAACTAGACGACACCTCGACCACTAAGGGAGACCTCAGCTCGGCACCTCGATCACTGAGGGAGATCTCGACTCAGCAACTCAACACCTCGCCTGTTAGAGAAACCTCAGCTCGACACTTCAACAGTTGAGGGAGACCTCGGTTTGGCACCTCGGCAATTGAGGGAGACCTCGACTCGGCACCTCGACTGCTTGAGAAACCTGCAATCAAAGGTAGCCAAGCTCGAACTTCCGATCTTTTGACTCGAGTCGAGCTCGAACTCGAGCTCAAGTTTCTAATTTGAATCGAGCTTGAGCCTAATAGTTTATAAGCGAGCCCCTGCAATGCAGGGCCCCCTCCGCTAGAAAATATATTAAGCTAAAATGTGTACGTAAGAAAGCAAGAAAACATGAGGATGAGGGAAATGGAATCTAATAGTATTTTTTGCCTTTTTTCATAGAAATTACAAGAATGCCACTATCTACCGACTCTCTCTCTCTCTCTTGCTTTTTTCTTTCAAATTACAAGAATGCCACTCTCTCTCCAACTGAGGGAGACCTCAGCTCGGCATCTTGGCTGTTAGGGGACTTGCAATCAAAGGTAGTCGAGTTCAAGACAAGTCGAGCTCAAACTTCTGAGCTCAAGCTCAAGTCACTAATTCGAATCAAGATCGAACTAGATGACACCTCGACCACTGAGGGAGACCTTGGCTCAACACCTCGGTCACCGAAGGAGATATCAGCTCAACACCTGAACAACTAAGGGAGATCTCATCTCGGCACCTTGTCAACTAAGGGAGAACTTAGCTCAACACCTCACCTGCTAGGGAAACCTCAGCTCGACACTTCAACAGCTAAGGGAGACATCGGTTTGGTACTTCGGCAATTGAGAGAGACTTTGGCTCGGCACCTCGGCTGCTTGAGAGACCTGCAATCAAAGGCAGCCGAGCTTGAACTTCCGAGCTTTTGACTCGAGCCTAATAGTTTATGAGTGAGCCCCAGCAAAGGGCCCCCTCTGCTATTAAATATATTAAGCTAAAATGTGTACCTAAGAAGGCTTGAGGATAAGGGAAATGGAATCTAATAGTATTTTTTGCCTTTTTTTCATAGAAATTACAAGAATGCCACTATCTACCAACTCTCTCTCTTTTGCTTTTTTTTCTTTCAAATTACAAAAATGTCACTCTCTCCTACTAACTCTCTTGCTTTTTTTTTTCTTTCAAATTACAAGACTACCACACTCTATCCTACCAACTCTCTCTCTCTCTCTCTCTCTCTTTCTTACAAATTACAAGAATGTCATCTCTCTCCCCTTATAAATTATAAGAATGCCACTCTCTCTCCAACTAGGGAGACCACAGCTCAACATCTCGACTGCTAGGGGATTTGCAATCAAAGGTAGTCGAGTTCGAGCTTAGCCGAGCTCGAACTTTTGAGCTCAAGCTCAAGTCTGTTATTCAAATAGAACTCAAGCTAGACAACACCTCGACCATTGAGAGAGACCTCAGCTCGACACCTTAATCACTGAGGGAGATCTCGGCTCAGCACCTCGACAACGAAGGGGGACCTCAGCTTAGCACCTTGTCAACTAAGAAAAACCCTAGCTCAACACCTCGCCTGATAGGGAAATCTCAACTCGACAATTCAGCAACTGAGGGAGACCTCGGTTTGGCACCTTGGCAATTGAGGGAGACCTCGGCTCAGCACCTTGGCTGCTTGAGAGACTTGCAATCAAAGATAGCCGAACTCGAACTTCTGAACTTTTAACTCGAGCCAAGCTCAAACTCGAACTCAAATCTCTAATTCGAATTGAGCTTGAGCCTGATAATTAATGAGCGAGCCCATACAAGATAGGACTCCCTTCGCTAGTTATTGTATTGATTCACAGGATGTACTTCTTCGACCGAAACCAAAGCCGTACGACCTAATAACCAAAATTCGGGTGGATCGATTTGGTCGAGTTTGGAATTTTCTCCACATGCAATTTCATCCTTATCAACATCACTAGTTCACTACATGCCTGAACTAGCATTAGCATGTGCTGGTGGGCACATTCAAAAGAATCTATCTCAGTCCGCATTTGCTATCCACACGCTATCTACCAGCAACCTAATTTTGCTACGACATGGTTTTAGCGCCGTGCAAGAAGCAACGCAATATCAAACCATCTATGTATTGTTGTGGGGCCCCATTTTTAAATACATCCAAGGTCGTGATTCCCAGCTTTAGTCCCGTACTAAAATCATGTGGGTGTTTGGTTTTGTTGTGTTGTGTGTCTTTTGCATGTCATTCGTTTTCAGCACCATATAGGCCATTATGCTTTGGTAGGTTCACTTGGTGTAAATGTTTTTACTTTTTAATTTTGGGTTATGTAAAGTTAGAAAACATTATTTTGATGTTTTTACTATTATATTTTCATGACTAGACTGTTCTATTTTTCTAAATTTCAATGTATAAATGCGACATATATATAACACCATAATAACCAACATCCATCCCCATGTCTTAGCAAAATTAAATTCATCAATAAAACAGCACATGTGCGCACACCCACAACTTCTCCCCATGAATGACATATATGTTCCCAAGGCACAGCTTGCAAAGAATACAAATGCAAAATACAAACATCTCCTTACGTTACAATTCCTTTTAACAGTTGCAACATGCTTTGAGGTTAGTGTGAGACATGCTCTATGAAGAGTAAATCCAAATTCCTAATGTACAGTCGCAATAACTTGTGGATAGCAAATCCAAACTACATTTATTGAGTTTACATCCAATGTCCCTTGGGGTTTTGTCTCAAACCAATAGCAATATGACACACCAGCCTATTTTTCTCATTTCAAAATTAAAGTGATTTTTTTAAATGATGCGGCATATTAATATTGGTTTTGAAAAGAAAATTTTCTGTTCCCAGGGATAACAACGTAGTATTTTACAGAATTAAGATCTGTTCCTCACAGAGCACACCTCATAGCCCCATCTTGCCATATATTTAGAACATCTTCCCATGAATAACAACACAAAAGATCAGAGCTAAGGAGATATAGATGGTGGGATGGAGCTGTGAGGTCTGTGTGAGGAACAGATCCAGACTCGCTCTTACATATCATGTCCCCTCTGGTTTAGCCACATGTAATCCACGTCAGCACAAGAAGGTGAATAAATTCAGGTTTTGGTTTTAGGGTTGGAATCTTTCAATATTGTGGCCAGTTGCCACGTAGCAAGTGGGACAAATGGAAGAACCCCTTGTTAGGTATCAACTCTGAACGAATATCTATCTATCTGCACTAAACCCTTCTCTTCTGTCAAAGTCTATCCCACTCACTCGCTCTGTAGTTAACTCTGCACCGAGGGGCCAATGCATTTGTTCTCAGCAAATCAACTTGCGAGGAATGCAAGGCTCCCCTTCAGCTAAATGACAAAAATAAAATTAAAAAAACAGAATATATGTCTTCCTAGAAGTCCGCCGGTTCGTCGGCTTCAAATCCGAAGACAAAACCATAACTGCCGAGAAGACGCTATCTTCGGTGACGACTGACGACCACGAGAGGGTTGATCAATGGCGAAACAACCACGTGTCAGTCGGAACTTCCATTGGCATCAGATAGCCCTATCTCTTCCCTTCCCCATCACTTCAGTAGTCTCATGATCGTTAGACTCATCATCGACGCTTACATATATAAAGAACGCACGCAACAGTCAGCCATAGCGAGCAGGACCAGTACCAGGTTCTTCAGTTTCAGTCCTAAAAGGTTGAGCTTGGATTCTTGCGATCATCCAAACACTGAATTCAATCTTTTCTATGGTGATATTCAATATACAGATGTTCTAAAACCCCCTTTCTTTCTTCTTTCTGAAGGTTTCGGTCGCCATGGATCACGCGGCGGATGCTCACAGGACTGATTTGATGACCATCACCCGTTTTGTTCTTAACGAGCAATCCAAGCACCCCGATTCCCGTGGAGACTTCACCATCTTGCTCAGTCACATTGTTCTCGGTTGCAAATTCGTCTGCTCCGCTGTCAACAAGGTGTTCTGACTGACTCATCACTTCGAAATCAGATTCTTATCTTTAATTTAGGGTTTTTATCATGTTTTTAATTTAATTACGATAAACTTCAATTCTGTGTTCTGCTATTGTTCCGATTTTCAGTTCTTCATTTCTTTGGTACATTCTACGTTGGAATATGTATTGAGGAGGAGACAGGGGAATCCTGATTCCTGAATTTGAACAAACATTTTGCTTTCCCTTGGATTAAAAAGTTACACCTAATTGGGGATTCTAATATTGATATTGTCTATCGAGCTTCGTCCCAATTTTTCTGCTCTGACTGATTATTCTTCTATACGCTCTTAATCTTAAACAAGAAGATCGATGCATTTATCTGCCATGTGGTAATGAATGAATCAGACATTATTTGCTGTTGTTGTAAATCAGAATTGACTTCTGAAAATGGGATAGGAGTCCTTTGTCTGTATTCCTTGGTCTACCTATTCTATTTTATAGGTATCGGTCATCTATAGATTTCTATTTGTGCAGGCGGGTCTTGCAAAACTTATCGGACTTGCTGGAGAGACCAACGTTCAGGCATGTCCTACTTGCATTTTAAACCAGTGATTGTTTTATGCTGTGTGCTTTATATAGCTGATGTGTGCCTATTCTGATTTCAGGGTGAAGAGCAGAAGAAACTTGATGTGCTTTCCAATGAGGTTTTTGTCAAGGCTTTGATAAGCAGCGGTCGAACAGTATGTCTGAAATTTTGGGGCTTATGTATTGAAAAGAAGTATCAATGAGTTATTTCACTTAAATAAGTGAAATTTCTTTTGCAGTCTATCCTTGTTTCTGAAGAGGATGAAGAAGCAACCTTTGTGGAGCCATCAAAGCGTGGAAAGTGTGTGCTGAGACCATTTTCTCTACTGGTTCATTTAGATCTCGATTCCTGGAGCCTTACTAACAAAATTAATGTTTTGAAATATTGCTAATAGTGCAGGTACTGTGTTGTTTTTGATCCGCTGGATGGATCCTCTAACATCGACTGTGGTGTTTCCATTGGAACCGTATGAACCTAATCTCACAGATCTCACAGTTACTTTGAGATTGTTTCTGGGAATTACTTTAGGGTCTAGATTTTAATTTTTTTTAGTAGTTTTTGTTTTGAATTGGGGTTTTCATTGATGGGATCTCATCTTTTCAGTTGTTAATCTATTTGCATATTTATATATTTTTCATTTAGATATTTGGAATCTATACGGTGAAAGATAGGGAGAACCCAATTCTAGATGATGTGCTAAAGCCTGGGAAGCATATGGTAGCAGCTGGCTACTGCATGTATGGAAGTTCTTGCACGGTACAAATATCAAACTTCTCCCAAGTGTAGACACCATTTCTTTCTTTAGTGGATCTTGCATTTTTTTTCTCCTTGCTTTCCTTTTATGGCGGTTCGGTCCACACCAGACACGGACCTTGTAATGTCCCAGTTCTGTTTTGGAATTCCTCTAGCTGTGTCCAAGAGTGCAGCTTTCATTCCCAAACTTGGTCCTTTCTTAATGAGAAATTTAATTCATGTTTGTCCTTCGTTCTTTATATGAGATAAATGGTGCATGAGATTTTAGCCTGTAGTCTAATGCATTTTAGTTGATGTTATCTTTTTTTTTTTTTCTTTTTGAATTTGATCATTGCAGTTTGTCTTGAGCACTGGAAGTGGTGTCAATGGTTTCACACTTGATCCTTCTCTTGGCGAGTTCATACTAACTCATCCAGATATTAAGGTTTGTACCAAAACAAAGAAGAATTCTCATAAAACATACTGGTATCAATAATTTAATGCCTTAATCTTTTTAACATATGGTGTGTTCATTATCTGGTTGTAATTCTTCTATTTCACAGATCCCAAAGAAAGGTAAAATATACTCAGTAAATGAAGGAAATGCGAAGAATTGGGATGAACCAACAGCCAAGTATGCCCCTACAAATTTTATGTTTTCGTTTTTTTTTCCGTTTGTTACTACTTATTAGATATGTAGGCCACAATTCTCTGACGCTCTTTTGACTTACAGATACGTGGATAAATGCAAGTTTCCTAAAGATGGTTCATCACCAAAATCCCTTAGATACGTTGGAAGGTACGTGCTATACTTATTTAAAATCTTTTTTATCTTTTTGCTTTTTTCCGTGCCCGGGAGGGAAGGGGTGTTATAAGAGGATCATGCCTCTACTGCCCCTGCTTAATTAGGCTTGTACATACTGCTACTTAATCAGGCTTTCAGTAGCTTATTCTCTTTTCCAAATCAAAAATAAACCAGATTAATAATCTGGTCAGCCCAGAACCTATCGTTGTTTTATATGAAGGTTAGCCTAGCATTCCCAAGTTCTATTTATCAAAACCTTACTTGATTTAGGTCAAATTTGGGTTAAGCGCTTCATGGACCAATCCACTAGTTTTGATGCATGTGGAGGAGCTTGATACTTGAATGCGTTGGTAGAAAAGTACTGAACTTGCAAATACAATATAGCAGCTAAGGAGGCAGTGGTGCTTTACCTATATGTTATTTAACATGCAAAGAAAGTATCCTGTGCTTTATCTAAGAACAATTCCTTTTAACAGTTTGACTTGGTTCGAATTGCTGTGTTACATCACTTTAGCTCCATTAATGTTAATAATCCGATGTCAAAATTCTCATACCAAATCCACTGCTTATATGAGATTTTTAAGTGGATTGATTGAATTTGGCTCATCATTGTAAAGAAATTATTTTTGGTAAGACCTTTTTAGCTTTCAATTAAATCATAAGATAAAGATGATCCATTATTCTCTCAGATTCTAATGATAATGGCATGGTTCACAGTATGGTAGCTGATGTCCACCGCACATTACTTTATGGGGGTATCTTTTTGTACCCTGCTGATAAGAAGAGCCCAAATGGAAAACTACGGTATGTACAGAAAATCATAGCTTGGTCCTCTATTATCCTGTTTTTTCATACAAATGAGTGATAAATAAACCTGTGGAGCAGTGTTCTCTATGAAGTCTTCCCAATGTCATTCTTAATGGAACAAGCAGGTGGTCAAGCATTTACTGGCAAGCAACGGGTATGCCCCCAGATATCATTCATTAAAATTGGCACATATTTTATCCATTTTCATCCCTCGTCACTGGATAGATTTTTCTTTTTGTTTATTTTTCAGTTTATTCCCTAGTTAAACCTACCAAATAGAATCCTCTTAGAACCTAATTTTTTTGCTAGAAACATTTACAAATATAAATTAAGCAATAAACCATCAAATTAACCTCTTGAATGGCAACAGGCCAGTTTCTTAGCAGAAGTTCCGTACTTGAACTTCAAACCACCTTGTGAGGACAAAAATTGGAGTCTCTGCTAATCAATCATGTTGGTCATATTGCAGGCACTTGACTTGGTTCCAAAGAAGATCCACGAGCGGTCTCCAATATTCCTTGGTAGTTATGATGATGTTGAGGAAATAAAAGCACTGTATGCTGCTGAAGGGAAGAAAGAATAACCTGCAAACTGCAACCCCTCAAACTAAAATTTTATTCTTTGTTTTGGTAGTATATCAGATCCATTCTCTGATCTGCTTATAAGACGAAACATTCCCTAGGATCTCTTTGTAATCCAAGAAACAATTTCCTAAAGGAAAGGTTAGGATTCAAGATCCATTTCTATTTCTTATAAAGTGATTGTGTCATGGTCTACTGGAACAACAGAATATCTGCATGAAAACGAGTTCATGGTGCAATATCATGCATAGTAGGCTAGGCTTGGTAGCAATAACCTCCTCGGCTTTAGCATTCAACCCTGAGCCGTTGCTATTTCAGTATTTTGGTAGAAAATTGAATTGACCTTGCAGTGGTTACTTGTTAGGGCCAGATTTGATTTGGAATGGGATCAAATGCACAAAAAGGGGTGGCAAATGGATGGGTTGGCTGAGGGTTGAAATATCAACCCATTCATTAATGTGAATATGAGAACATGATATTGCACATGTTGGTGAAAAATGAGATTGAACATGCAGCTTATCAATTGGCATAGGGCATGTCATGTAGGGAAGGATTATCCTTTACCTGATTTTGAAACATTTCCTCGTACAAAGAGTTATTCTTCCAAATCTCCTCCCCACCCAATGAAGAAGATAATCTGATATAGAAATTGTTCCTTGGGTCTCTGTCACCCTGAAAAACAGATAGATAAATAAATAGTATAACATCGCAATCCTATTAAGACTTGAAAGAAAAGAAAAAGGTAGATAATCATTCTCAGAAAAAAAAATTAATTACAAAATAATTTACAACAAATCATATTTATCAGAATCCAACAAAGAATGAAACATTTGGCTTGTAATTGCAGTAGTAAAGATTACAGAAGCACATCCACTCGCACAAGGCACACATTGCTCAATTGGCTTATCTTATATTTGTAAACAACTTTCTCCATATCTTCCCTATGCAGAATGTCATGTTGTCTTGATTCCAAGAAGTTGGTATCTGTTAGTAAACCCTAGCAGATTCTAGGTTGAAGTAGAGAAGAAGAAAGAAAAGAGAAAGAAGAAGAAGAAGAAAGAAAGGTTCGGTCAGACTAGAAGAGAGTCTCAATCTATCTCTCCCCTAGCTGACCCACTTGTATTTATTCAAAAACATAGAGTTACAGGAAAGACCATTTTGTCCCTCATAGAAGATGGGACACATAACTTAAACTCAGATACAATAGACCTTTCACTCTCAAGCAGATAATCCAGAATGACCAAAATACCCCTGACTCGAGCATTCTAACAGTATCATCATCAATTCATCATCTGCCTTCTTATCCCCACATACATGGGGCCAGCAGTCTATCCTGTTGATCCATTTTGTTTTAAGGAAGGCCACACCTTTTTCCAGGAGTAAAGAAAGGAAAAGAAAATATGAATCCAAAATTTAGTCAAATAGATTTGAGGCTGAAAATGCACAATAAAATTTCTATCTTACCAACATGGATGACACTTACAAAAATCATCCCAAACAAAATGATCCAGCCCTTGGTAAAATTCAGTTGTTGGTCTTACCAAAGTAATACTATAAGGAAGATCCAACAAACAAATGCATTCTTGAGAAAAACACTATTTGCTAGCAATATATAAAGTTACTAGGCTTAAATCAATGCTGCTGAAACTTCAGACCCAAGTGGAAAAAATGAATTAAAAAAAAAAAAGCAATGTCTTAAATTGAGAACCCATCAAATGAAACTATGAAACAGCAATTAATTTAAAACATCTAAAATGGCTGTCCATAAGCTGGAGGATACCATTAACAATATTAAATATGCCTCTGCCACATGAGGGTATCTTTCTATGGTTTAGGGTTTGTTTAGGCACCTAAGACAAATAAAGCCCAATAAAATACCTCGAAATAGCAGTCTTAATTCAATTAGTACCAATATTTTGGCTCTTGGCCCATTTTGAATGAGGTTGGTAGCCCTCGGCAATGACCAGGTTGAAATTGATACAGCCAATAGATCAATATCTTATTCTTACCAAAAGCCAGCAGCTTGGTAGTTGGGTCAAATTACAGATAGTGAGTATCTGAGTGATCTGTTTCTTTGCATGCATTAAAGCCCAAATCAGCACAGTTCAGATCACAGAAGTTGATCCTTCAACCAACAAAGTACAACCAGTTGTAACCACTCACTATCACAGATGTTCTTAGCTCTAAACAAAATCTCCATCTGTTAAAACACTGACAAATTAGATGAGCTTCTCTTCATGATCATTAGCAAGATCTAAAGAAACCATTATAAATAATGAGTGAAAAGAACAACAATCTTTCACCACTATTAGTCAGAGGAGATGCCAAAAACTTCCTCAGCTGCCTGACTCACAATATAGAAAACACAGAAAAGAAAAAAAGAAAATAAATACTAGCATGGTATATTTCATCCTTCAATACAAAGAATCATTCTGTACTCTTCTGGATAGACATAAGCTAGGGTAGTTGCTAACCTTAGTACACATCTAAACAAGCTGTTCATCCTTGTAGTCATCACTCTTGCCTCTCTAAAATGTATTGTCTTAATGACCCAAGGCCCTCAGATGGCTAAGAGTTTCCCCTTCCAGCTATCTGAGAATCCCCTTCTACTTCAGGTCTCTCTAGACTCAAGGAGGTTGAATGATCTCTTTTGACAAAGATGAAACAAAATATAACAAAGAATACATTATACATGAGGTTGCCATATATAGAGAAAATAAAGAAAGTCCATTCTCTTGCAACGTGCAAAGAGCTCAGTTAGTTAAAAAGGAAATAACTCATACATGCCAAATGAGTTTAGACAACTTTGGGCTCTAGTCCTACTGTGCCAGAATAGACTCCAAAGGAGATGAATGCCACGATAGATGGATAAGTTACATTCGGGTCCATATCAGATATCAGATGAGCCTATAGTGAATCTGAATTTCCACAGGAAGCTTATATAGCCTAGCTGCATGCTTGTAAAGCTTCTAGCTTGGCTCATGATTTCTGTTTTTCACCCCTTGTAGTCCATCTTGCACAAACTTGTTTTTGTTTTTGTTTTTGTAATCTACCCATTCTACTAATAAAATCCTTTTAATCAAAATTTAGGAACTCCATAGACGCTCTACTGGCCACTTGAAGATGATTCTCGGCTGCCATATTACGGAGAAATGTTTTAAGTAAGCAATACCTCAAAAATCTGGAATTGAAGATTACTAATTTAAGATATTAATGATCATGGCTCATAAACCAAAAAGGGAAAGCAGGAAACCAAGCAGTAGCTGTGATGCAGTGAGTATCAAATGCTGGTGACAGAGAATAGGAGAAGGTTTGATGGTGCATAAAATCCATAACCCATACTTGACAATTGACATTTCAATGTCTCCTTCTCAAAGTTCAACTTGCCAACCCAAATGCCTATAGAGGCATTGACTTTAGAACATCCATGTAGGATGTAGCACAGTTTGTTTTGGAACTCATGGTCGTGGGCCTAAACAGTTGATAAAGAGACATAGAAAGCAGATTTTAGTAGGCATTTCTGAAAAGTTTTCTCAAATGTTCAGACTTTGATTTTGACACCACCTACAACATTATGCAGTTCTCATTATCCTTCTAAAACAGTTAGAATTGGACATGACCACCATAAGAACCATTAACTGTTGATGGCCTGGGCAAATGGTAAGAGCACCTGTTCCTGATCCTACTCCTGGTCTGTATAATCTTACTCACCCAAAAAATACATCAGATTTGTACTAAGATTTCAAGCTCAATGTTCTTATTAAAACACTTCAAATTTGGATACCTGATATTCTTTCACAAGCACAACTGTGAATCTACCGGGCATCATCATCAAAAAGAACTTTATAGAACCGCTTTCTCTCTTCAGGATCATATAAAGTTCCTTGCTGGCCCCCATTATCATCTTGTTCTGATGTTTCAGTGGTTTTTTTCCCCCTTTTCTCTGGTCTAACCAAAATTGCACCTTTCTGCCTCTTCTTCTCCAAATTCAATGCATGCCGTCTCCGATTATATTCATGAAGCCCCTCCTGCATGAGTTCCCCAAATTTCTCCTTGACAACAACAATTGGATCCTTATTAATCAACTCTGAACCACTGTAACCTTCTCTGAGAAGAACTGTGTAAATCTGATAACGATTAGAAACATAAAATATGCCCGGATGCTGTAGAAGCATGACATTCAATCTCTCTGGTAAATTTAACTCTCTCCTAAAATGACCTACTTTTATGATTGACGCTTTCTTCCACAGAGTCAATGACAGTAATTCATGCACCAGACCCACTGCCCTCTTCTCCATCTCCTTTGATCCTTCACCAAATCTACCATCTGCATAAGGCGATATATATGGGCTTTCATTAAATTCATGAAATCTCTCCCATGATTTCATCCAAGTCGAAGGCAGAGAACAAGAAAAGAGCGGTTCAGTCCCCCGCTCTCGAGCTTGGGTTTCTATTACGGAAACTGCTAAATTAGGGTTCCATGATACAAGCTCAATCTCCATGGAGCTCCGTCTTCCACTGTAACTGACAAGTCGAAACATGTCAGGATATTTCGGTACAATCCTAATTAAGTAATCATCTGGAAACCCAAAATTTCTCTTCAACTCATTGAGCTTCACCACATTTAACTTTTTATTGGAGCTCATCATCAATAACTTCGCTAATCGCTCGACGAGCACCGGCTCCTGCTGATCCTTCACGGATTCTTCCTCCTCTACCAGGGACATCATCCGTTTTGTTAACCGGCAATACTGGTCACCGTTCTCGAGATACACCTCGAAGCAGCATGGATATTTGTTGAGCCAGTTGAGGGCTTTACCTTGAAGATCGAGAGTCTTGAATTTCTTCTGGAGAAATCGAACTGGTGCAACCTGATTAGGGCATCGAAGGATGATATTCTTGATTTGGTTGTTCACGATCCATCGACGGTTCCTAGAGAGAGCCGATTCAAGAGATGGGTCCTTTTTCATCGACCATAGAGAAAAGCTACGGAGGAAAATAATGCATGGTTGAGAGAAAATACTGGGGTTTCGAAGATGTAAAATTATACGAGATGCGATAACCGCCATTTCTGTTCCTCACTGTAACAACTGGCGCTTTCTTTTACATCTTTCAAATTTGCGCCGAAATGTTCAGTTTTATATCTTGTTTTCGCTCTATTCAACTTTTTTTAGTTTCAGATCAGAACGCAGACGACGGGCGCCGAACGCCGCCACCGGACACCCCAAGAAGCCGAGTAAGTAACCAAAATATTTAATCTAAATTCGATCCCATCCGTTTGCATCCCTTAATTACCTCATCTCATTGGGTATCTGCGACGGCTTGAAGTCTCCAACCGATCCAAAGGCACTCTCACTCCCCTTTCTCCTCTCTGTTTATCTGCATGTATACGAGCATGAAAGCGGGAAAGCCTCGGTTTCCTGAGTTCTCTCTGTACCTGCCTCTTTGGCCTTGTTCGCTTTTTCAGAAGGCTATTCACCGGTAGGTTCAACTTCACTTACCCACAATCCGCGTATCTGTTTTAAATCGGATTCGAATCGGACTCGAACTCGGAATCGGGTCTCAAGCCCACAATTCGCTGTTTGTACATTTGATACTTTTGTTCGGGAGTGTAAGAACCGAGAGGGAGAGAGAGAGAGAGAGAGAGAGAGAATGGCCACCAAAGCTATGCAGTTTGCGGTAAAGAATCCATTCCATTTCTCACCTGGAACATCGCCAAATCCTGTAAAAGCTGAGGATTTCACTATTAGGTGCTCCGTTTGTCTCCCTTGGTGGTGGTGCTGTTGGTAAGTCGTAAGAATGGCCATCAACTTCAGCTTTTTGCTTCATTCTTCCTTTAAGATCATGGTAGTTTTATGTATAAAACTTTGAGCTTGGTATTCTTTAATTATTTTTGTCCTGTTTGAGCTTCTGACTCCTTTGGTTTGCAATTGTATATAATTGATGTAGCCTGCACTATATCAATATTATAAAACACATTTTCAGTAATTTTAGAACTTGCCATTGCAATAGGTTCACCAGGGAAACTCTCCAGTACCTGAATTTGTCCTAATATGATGCTTAATCCTGAACGTCCAATTTGTCAAATGCTCAAAGACATTAAGAATACTTTACAGAAGAATCTGTTATATGGTTATATGGCTGAATGAGGAGTTGACACAGAATCCTTAGGCCATCTAAGGGCATGCATGTACTAGGTTGTAGGTGTTTATTCCATTGACATGAATAAATATGTCAAGGGAGCTTCTTTCTTTTTATTTTTCACTTAGGCTGTGTTTGGTTTGAAGGAAAAGGTAGGTTAAGGAAGGGAAACGTGGGGAAACCTATACAAGGTTTATAAAGGTTTTCCTACCTTTCCCTTCCTTTCCCTACTTTTTCCTTCAAACCAAACATAGCCTTATTGAATTTAGGCTGTAAGTAAAGAGATCTTAATTGTTTAACTGATTCCAACTAGACATGCAGCTTTCATATCCTAGAAAACATGAAATTCCTGTTTTAAGTTATTTCTCCACATATGGAAATTTCTACATTTACTCACGTTTGTACTTTGTATTTAATCACAGTATATTCTGTTCAAGTCAAATTGATTTAATTTTTCCCTTTCCATCCTAATGTAGACTTGGGGGAAAGACCATAGAAGGTAGCAGATGCTAGACTTGTACTAGAGGATGGTTCCACATGGAAAGCAAAGTGTTTTGGTGCTTCAGGAACCCAAGCTGCTGAGGTGGTTTTCAATACATCTCTGACAGGGTAGATTGCCTTATTTCTACTTTTTTCCTCGCATTTTCATTTCTTACAGGGATTTCTGGTTAAAAATGATTCTTTTTACTAGATGGCAAGCATATAATTTTTTTAGCAATCATTCCTTCTGACTCATTTCCCTAGAACTACTGTTTAGCAGGTTTGGGGGTGCTAATTACACTGTTTCAAGTATGATTGGAGTTCTACTCTCACCATTGCATGTACAGCTCTAATTCTCTTTTTTTTAACTGTTATACAGCTCTATTTTTTTCTGAGGAGGATTAGCATTCCTCTTTGCAGGTTTCCTGTCTATGAATGACCTTTTTCCCCTGTAACTACTTTTTGAAAGTTTAGTGCCAATAAAATCATATAGAGGCCCATTCAAGGTTGTCAATTTCCTCCATCATTTTGTTGGAATACGTGTGCCTTTTCCTAATTTTTTGGATCCTAGTTCCTAGACTTCGGTCTCTTTAACCTAACTGCTATCTTCCTAATCTTTCTTGAAAACCTTATTTTCATATATTTCCTATTTTTTGTTATAAGAAAATCTAGAACTTCCATGTTCTTAGAGCCAAGCATTTGCCTGGCTGATAAAACCAATAAGATAAATTCTTTTGATTTACTTAGAGAAAGAACGCTGATCAAATACACACACACACAAGAAGAAAAATAAAATAAACCAGTAAACCTTCTTCATAAAATAATCGAGTCTTCAGAGGAAAGGAAGACTTTGGCTGCTATAGTTGTTTCTGAAGGGACTGTAAAGTGGTAGTAGTATTTTCTAGTATTTTCTTTTAATTTTCTAGTATTTTTTTATCAGAAATAAAGATTGTTTCATTAATTAAAATATGTGGAGTTAATTACAGTATTTTCTAGTATGTTGCACAATGTTTTTTAGCTTCTTTGTGGTAATGTTATTCTCTAATGCCTCATTTTATATCCAAATTTCTTGTTCAGGGCCTTTGGGGTAATTCCCCTTTCTCCTCTCCTCTTTGTTCTATATTCCTCCTTTTTCTCATTCTTAGAGATAATTTGATAACAGCTGAAGTGGTTGATCTGAATGACTTATTGCTTTACCTTTATTGGATGAAATGGTATTATAAATTTATAATAAGATATTTGAGGGTATAATAATAAACACAACATTTCATTTGGATATTAAGGAGATCGTAACCTACTTAGGGCCTGTTTGGGAGGGCTTAAGCTTAAGTTAAGCTGTTTACCAATAGCAGTTGGTTAGTACTTGGAAGCTTTAGTCATTAAAAAAAGGGAAATTTCCCAATTAGTACCCTGTACTTTGGGCCTAGTGTCATTTTAGTCCCCGAACTTTAAAATGCAACAATTCAGTACCCGAACTTTTAAAACGTGTCAATCCAGTACCTACCGTTAACTAGTTGTTAACCAGCCATTAAGTAGCATTTGAAAAAGACACAAATGCCCTTCGATTTTCATCAAATTTTCTTTATAAACCATCCAAACATTGACAAAAAATTAACAGTCCCAAATCCTTGTCTCTTCTATTCAAGAAAGTTGGAGTCATCAAGATGCCCACTGAGACATGACCCCAACTTTCTTGAATAGAAGAAGCAAAGATTTGGAACTGTTAATTTTTTCTCAACGTTTGGATGGTTTATAAAGAAAATTAGATGACACTCAAAGGGCATTTGTGTCTTTATCAAATGCCACGTAACAGCTAGTTAACAGTAGGTACTGGATTGACACGTTTTAAAAGTTCAGGTACTGAATTGTCGCATTTTAGAGTTTGGGGACCAAAATGACACTAGACCCAAAGTATAGGGTACTAATTGGGAATTTTCCCTTAAAAAAAACATTATGGTAGCTTAAAAGAAATAAAATTTAATGAAAAGAGAGGAAAGATAATTTATCTTATATGAAATGTTTAAAATGAAAGACACTAAAGCTGTGGCAAAGCTACAAAAAGAAGCTTCAGGTGAGAACCAATAATGTGGATGAACAAGGCACCTTTGGCTCCTTGTATATAAAGTTGAATATTGCCGTTCAGCTTCATGTGCTTCAAAATTCATAAAAGCTGAAACGCAGTGATGAGACCAACTGATGGTGGCTCAGTTGGTAGAATCACAGACTCGTTGTATGTTAGGAACCTGCCTAACTCAGGGCTCTTCGAGGGGCCAACCTCCTGAATTCTTGGAAGGAGAGGGGGAGAGAGAGAGAGAGAGAGTTTAATGCTGAAAGAGTCCTCCTCTATTCCTTTTCTGCTCTACTACTTATAGTGTTACAATCTTGACTGTTACAGCTGTTACAAGTGAATGGCAGTTGTTACAAGTGGCTGGTTAGTTGA